GGGGTTATTGACTCAGCCACTCAAGTCTCTATAGATTTATTGACACTATTGTATATTCCAACTGCATATTTGCACTAATCCGCCATAATTATTTGATATATTGACTCATAAACATCATTCCGCATGACGTATGTACATATTTGAAGCCCCGATTGGGGAAAACCAATTATTTAACCAATGCGGAAATGCGGAAAACATTAGGATTGTCTTAAGAAATATATATACAACTGAATAAACACAAATCGTATACGAAAAGAACCAAAAGTAGTTTTAAAAATACAAATAATTAAAACAAAAAATAATAAAAAAAATGAATGTTTAATAACATATGTACAACTCAAGAATTAATTAAGGAAAAGAAAATTGGATGCATTAAAAAATGTTTTTTATAAAATATAATCAGTGGCGAACAAATAATACAAAAAGAGCATTTTTAAGATTGCACTGAGGATATATATGTATATGGGCATTTCCACAAAAAAGTCCACCATGACCGAAAAATTAAAAGTTAACTAAGAGTTTTTCTTTACATGCAATATTAAAGAGAAATGTTCAAATTTTATTAAATTAAAGAGTTCAAAGCTCTACCTAGTTGCGATGGCGAAATATAGGCCTACAAAGTTCAAGTTCAGGGTTTTGGTCAGCTTTGCATATTTTAAGAGCATTCTATCTTTACCATTTACGATTGTAAGAGTTATTGTGCAACTGCGCTCTTATTGCAAAATGCTAGCTACAACAACAACAAACCTTGAAACAAATGCAGAAGAGCAAACAAATATCAGTTAACGGTAAATTTTTAGATTTGCTTTTACCCATCTGCTAATGTCACGTAACGTCAGAAAAAGGGCATTTATTCTCATTATTCCTACGTTGGTGATCGCAAGTGCGTGAAAATTTGAAATTTAACAAAGCTTAATAAAGTTAATTAATTGTAATAAAAATATCCGAAAGAAAGCAAATAGTTATTTTTATATTGATTTTCAAAAGTGTGTCACGTAACGTCAGATTGTAAGTAATTTCATAGAATGGTATTTTGTTTATTTTCAATTTACTTCCAATTACCGTTAATGCAGATGGAATCATCAATTAAAGGTAAAATTTACGCAAAACGCTATAGGCAAAAAGTAAAATCAGATTTGCTTAAGCTGGAGATAAGCCGTGAAAAGGCAAAGGAAAGAGCATCCAGATTCAGGCAAAAATTATTGGAATCAAACAATAGAAAAGAAAAAGTAAAAGAGAGCAACCGCCAAAGGCAACAACAATTCCGGGAGAAAAAGAAGAATGAAGGTCAAATGAATGTCAGTACGCAAGTCAATCAGCCCTACAGATGCAAACAAACCTTAGGAAAGGCTTTAAATAAAGTGAAAGCTGCTTTGCCGGTAGACCAAGAGAAACGAGCACAGGTCGTTGATATACTTTATAGAAAATATAGAACACGTGCTCCATCACCTTTGCAACTACAGACTAAATCGTCAATACAAGGAAAAGAGCAATTTATTAAAGAATTTTACTTCCGCGACGATATCAGTTTCCAATCTGCTAATCGAAAGGATACATTAATCGTTGAAGGAGAAATAGTGACCAAGCGTTTTATGTTGCTGACAGTTTCTGAAGCGTATGAGATATATAAAAGGGAGAGTAATATTGAGTACGTTAGTAAGTCAAAATTTTATGAATTGCGACCAAAACATGTACAACTTTCATCTAAAATACCACATAACATGTGCGTCTGCAAATACCACGCCAACTTCGCATTTACTTTGCAAAGCAGTGCAGAATTAATAAAATCATTTTCATCAAATTTGGAAACTTTTCTTAAATCTGCCTGTTGCAACATTAAAAACGAAAAATGTATGACGAGTAATTGCAGAAAATGTGTAAAAAATGTGAAAAATGATTTAGTACCTCTCAAATATTTTTCAATAATGGATGAAACCATTAGATGGAAACATTGGCGCAAAGTCGAAGACCGAATTGCTTTGACACATACCGAAGGTTCTCTTTCCGATCTTTTGTTCGAATTAGATGCACAATTGCCCTTTTTTAAACGCCACTTTTTTGTTAAACGTTCCCAACAAGAGTATTTCGAAACAAAAAAAAAAACATTTGACCGCAGAAGATCTAGTCCTGCAAATTGATTTTGCAGAGAACTATAGGTTAATATATCAAAATGAAGTACAGAGCGCACACTTCAGTTATCGCCAAGTGACCATTTTTACTTGCGTTGCTTGGTTTATTGGCGAAGTAAAGTCCTATGCCATCATTAGTGACAAGCTCAGCCACAATAAGTACGATGTATGCTGCTTTTTAACAACACTTGTGAATACAATCCAAAAAGAATATGGACAGTTTCAAAATATTTATATTTTTTCAGATGGGTGCACCTCCCAATTTAAAAACAAGTTTATTGCACGAAGTTTGCCTGATTTCGTTTGTGAATTTGGTTGCAAGGTTCTAGAATGGAATTATTTTGCAACTTCTCACGGCAAAGGTGCGGTCGATGGGGTAGGAGCGACAATAAAACGGAAAGTTTGGCATACAACAAAAACTAAAAATATAATTCTTGACGATGCCTATTCTTTTTATAAATGTGCTCAAAGTAACATAATTGGGATTAGATTAATGTACATTTCCTCAGAGCAGGTAGATAAGTTTTCAACTTTCTTGTTTGAAAAGTGGCAGGAGTTGCCGAACATACCTGGTATACACCAGATTCATTTTATATCTAGCGGCGAAGGCTTGCAAATAAAAGCAGCTGAAACTGCATTTTCAACCACCATTTTTACATTTTAATACTTATGTATAATATATATATTCATTCAATCATTTATTCTAATTTCTTTTTATATTCTAATAATCACATTGAATTACAATAAAAATCATGTTTACCATTTTTACCTCTTATTATGTTCTAATAATCATTATATAACAATAAAAATCACTTTCTTACAACTAAACTTGCGTTAAATAATGTTTTAAAAACAATCTTAACTACAAATTTACCAAAGGAAATTCTGTCACGTAACGTCAGATAACGTAACGTCAGACGATAATTCCAATTTAAAAAAAAACGAGTACAGATTTTTTAATTATATAACTTGAATAATAAACTTATATTTATTTAAAGCCTTCTGAAAAAAATTCAAGCAAAAAGTCCTTCCCAATTCGCAGAGTTTTGCCATTTTGTAATCCAAGTCAAAACCCACTTCCTTTTTTAGTAACGTAACGTCAGGGCCTATTTTTGCTTATGTCTTATAAACTTGAAGGTCAAATGCTATAATTTTTTTACCGCATATAGTGCCATTAAACTACTACTCAACTATAAAAAAAACTTTTTAAAAATTTCACTTTTTCATTAATTTATTTAATATTTTGTCGTACGAATGTCACATAACGTCAGATTGGAAATGCCCATATATATATATATATATATATATATATATATATATATATATATATATATATATATATATATATATATATATATATATATATATATATATATATATATATATATATATATATATATATATATATATATATATATTTCTTCATTCTAGAGTCCAGATTTGATTATGAATGCTAGGTCCAAAGGTAGTTATTGTCGGCAGATCTAATAGTAATATTAATTATAATATTTTCATACTTCTATAACTCAATCCAGTAAATATGTGATAAAGAAATCTGGCGAAAACTAATGTTAAGTACAATGTGTTTCTAGCTAATTAGAGATCGACTAGAGTACAAGGTTAATGTGGACAGAGTAAAACCAATTTAAGCAATATATAAATATACAAATTATATTAAAACACTTATCAGAAAACTATAATCAAACTAAGCTGTGAGTACAATCGGTTGCAGCCGATTCCGCAGACATGTACGAATATAAGTTCGAAAAGCTTTGATTTGTGGTAATAAAAATAGTCATTTGTGTTACACTTTCGAACACATATATAGTTCGCTGACTTTTTCCATATCAGCTTGTTTTAACTTAAATAAGTGGTGTGTATTTCTAAACTTCTAGCGCTCTTTGCTCTATGACCTGTGTTTTGACTTCACTTGACTCCTTGTTATTAATTTTCAAAGAAGAAGTTCAGATTTTTGTAATGTTAAAAAAATGTCTAAGCTCTTCTTGTGGTTGTGTTGAAAAAAAATCAGCTAGTTTGTGTAGACTTATTCTTCCAACTAGTATGTGATTTATAAAAAAAATAAAAAAAATATAACACTATGAAGATGCATTCTGTAAATTATACCAAAAAAATATCTCACATGCTTTATGCTGGGAGTTGAAAGGGTTAAATAAATAGGAAATTCTACTCAGCTGGTGCTATTTTTTAAACAAGTCTGTGTATATAAATACTCAGCTCTTTATTGAACTATCACTTATCACCCCTCAATTAACACCTTCACGCAAAATTCTCATTTCCGAAATCACTCGTCGTAGCTTATCAGTATTTTCGCCTTTCCATTCATAAATAGCCATTCATAAGGAAATACGAGTACAAGTACCTATATTTGATAATTGTCTCCTAAGAGAGAGAATTCTATTAAGAGCAACAAATATGGATCACAGCATCAATAGATAGCTAGTAGTTCGCTCTTTATGCACTTTGTTGATACGCAAGGTGGCTGTTTAAAGATCACAATGCCAGATCGATTAAGAGCAAAAAATGTTAATATTGGCCACAAATTGCTCTTTGGGACTCACTCGTAGGTAAGCAAGATGGGCATTTGAGATCAGAATGTCGGGCTGCTTCGTCGATAGATGGATACAACGAGAGCATCGGCAGAAATGCCGATCGCAGCATCAGCAGCGAGCTCTCTTTTGGAGCATTCGCTCGGTGGCGCTCGCATTGGTCGAGTTTTCTGTTCTTGGCCCTGTTGATAAGCCAGGTGGGTGTCGCGTGAGAGACACGACGGAGATCACCATGTCGGACTGGTTCGTTCGACGTCGGGCAGTCGTTGTCGGCGGCGATCACTTAAGTGTCTGTCCCAACTCGTCGATGGGTTCAGTTGTGAAACGCGTGTGGCACGGGGCGGTTGCGGTTTTTTGCAAATCACCAAGAATCTATTAACGATATATTGTGATCTAAATGAAGTACTGAAAGATTTTACACGCAGTTCGTCATAAAGTAATTAAATAATATTAAAATTAAATCCAAACCTTTTAAGTTGAAACAGAAAACTAAAAGAACTAAAAATCCAACACGTGCCTAGAAAAGATACATTTGACGCTATCTTGAGATTCCGCCAGATTTGTGATAAGCAGTGAATGCGAAAACGCGCAACTTTTATCAACAATGAAGAGGAAGACAAACCCACGACGCATGCCAAAAATGCTGTTGAATTAATTGCAAAAATAATGCCAACATTTAACTGCCGGCACACGATTAAAAGCCCACTAACAATTTGGTTTAACAGTTTTTTAATAAGTGGCACTAAATACTAAAAACCCAAAAGCAAACTTACCTGCACGCGTCGCCTCACAAGCATTTCTTTGCATTTCTTTTCGAATGTTTTTGTACGCAAATGTATCTCTTATTTGGATTTATTTTTTATTTTTTGTTGTTTTTCATGTTTAGCTCGTCGTTGTCGTCGTTTTCTGTTGTGTGAGTGTCGTACGATTTTTAACCAGTTTGCGATTTTTGTTTTATGTTTTCCTCTTTTGAATTCCCCTTTGTGAGGGTCTTATACATTGTTCGCGAGGTTGGTTGGAGTTTCGCTTTTCTTCAAAACTTGGGCCTGCACTCAATTCTGCTCGAATTTGTGATTTCCTAAACTTTGATAAACATAAATTGTTAACAAAATTTGTTGAAGTAAAACTTTCCGAAGCAAATCTAACAAATAGAAGGAAAAACTCCAAACGATCATTTTTGTCACTGTTTTAGAAAAAATGCAAAATATTTAGTTTATTTGGAGAAAGTGAAGAAAAATTAAAAAAAAAAATTTGGAATGAATGTAGAAACAATTATCGAAAAGCAATTACCGCAAGCAAACAATTAAAAATATTAAAAATAATGGCTATTAAGAGACCGGAAAAAATTAAACAAAAAAATATATATACAAGTATTTAATATATTTGAGCAGCAATGGGTTAATCGAAGTTCCCATATTTGTAGCAATATATAGTAGTATGCTCCCTTAAAGCAGGACCTTAAAAAACGACAAACTATATTCCACAGAACAACAAAAAAGAAGAAGTTGAAGATGTATTCACTTTTCTAAACGCCTTACAATTTCACCCAAAAGTAAACAATAAAGAAAAACAAATATCTTAAAGGCTTTCAGGCACGTTTGGGGAACTAGCCAAAATAAATTCTGTTTTATACAAAGCCGATGATCATTAGGAATATCTGAGTTTGATGTTCATTAGAGCAGCTATTATTATTTAAATCTGTTAACAAAAATCTGCATTCAAATAGAGAATACAGTATTCGACACGCTTAATATATATATATTTGTGTTGTTCGTGTTACATTTTATATTATTTTGTTTTTGGCGACTCTCAACGTATTTCGAGTGCTCGTGCTTTTTTCTTTCCCTTCCCATTTGTTTTTGGCAACATTTTCAATGCTGCGCCTGAGATCTTAAATGTATATTTATTTATAAGCAACTATTCGTACGTATTTACATACATATATAAATATATAGTGTGTAGAGAGACTTGCTGATTAGATAATTCACGCAGTTGACGCGCTTCCTGAAACACTGATAAAAGCGATAAATGCTGGCGTGCTGCTTAGATAAAATAAATTAAATGTGTTAATTTGAATTTCGTTCTACTTATCAAAAGCAACTTTGTTCCAATTCAGAGTGTTTGAAAAAGTTGAAAGTGTTGAACAGTAAAACAATATCGAAAGAACTTTAACAGCAACACAACATACAATGGCCATAGAGTTTAACTCTACGAACACTGCAAGTGATAGCATAACAGCAACAAAAAGAACAACAACAACAGCTACTGCTAGTGGTAGTAGTAACAACAACAACAACAGCAGCAGCAAACGTAACAGCAGCCGCGCTCAACAGCTGTTCAGCTGCGCCTGCGCAAACGCCAACTTCATTCTGCTCACCTTTATGCTCTCTCTGAGCAAATGCTGCAACGCTCTGCCCGCGCAATCGGCCGCCGCGCACATCAACGCAACACCCAACGCCACCTCCATGCCGAATGCAACGCTGCTGCAGCTGCTCTCTGAGGCGTCGACAACAACAGCAACAACTGTAGCAACAACTGTAGCAACAACAACAACAACAACTGCGGCGACACCAGCAGCAACCACGTTAACGAAACTTCTAGATGGCAAAGGCTTCCTCAGCATGGGCTTCGGCCTCAAGTTTCTGAATGTTTCCGGCAAAATCGGCACGCCCCTGGGCATAGGTGAGCATTAAATCAAACGAAAAAGAACATATGTGTGTGTGTGTGTAAGAGAGAGAGGGAGAGAGAGGGAGAGTAGATAACAGAGAATGAGTTTGTTACTGCGGCTCTTTCCCATCAGAGTTAATGTTTTTCAAAATGCAGCTGACGAATCTTATAGCCCTTTTTTGGAAACTGAAAATAACAAAAATCTCAAAGCTCTCTCATTTGTACTTTACTTTACTGAACTTTACTGTTACTGTGAATGAGTGAGTATGGGAGAGCATGTGTGAGAGCGAGTATTAAGCCTGTTGCAAATTTAGCACCAGTTTTGAAGTCTTGCAAGTTTTTGAAACTAAAACTTTGAAGCATTGTGTCTGAAGGTTCAAACCCTGGAAATAAAATATGTGTTCCAAAATATTCAAATACGAATATTGACAGTGTAAGTTTGATTTAAGTTACATTTTATCAGATTTTCCTTTCAAAAAAATTTTTTTTTTTTTAAATTTAATTCTAATTTTCAATTTAAAACATAATTCACTTAATTTGTTTGAATGTTTAATCCGTGGAAATAGTATATTTGTTTTAAAATCAAATACGAATACTGTCAGTGTAAGTTCGATTTAAGTTACATTTTATCACATTCTCCTTTCAAAAATATAATTTTTTAAAATTTAATTACAATTTTCAATTTAAAACATATTTCCCTTTATTTGATTTAAGTTACATATTACCAGATTTTGCTTTCAAAAAATTAACTATTTAAAATTAATTTTTAATTTTCAATTTAGTAAGTGTAATTGTGTACACTTTAAATTAAGCCTATATATAATTAAAATCTATTTCCTCATTTTTCCATTACATTGACTTATTTCTGAGTAGTTTTTTTTCTCATCATGTCATATATATTTGTTCTCGAATTTATTGATTAATTTTTAAAAGAAGAATAATCAGACCCCTGTATAAGTAGGCAGTCATAAAACTAATCTAATCTTTTCATCTATGCAGGTTTTCGTCTTAAATATCATATGAATTCAAAGAGCGCTACTGCGACTTTTTGATAAGTGCGTGAGTTGGGAAGCAAAGAAAATGTTTTTTTGTTTCGACAAACTTTTTAATTATGAAATGATAATTTCTCATTTGTTTTCCATAAAAAGTCAACTTCTGTGATTATTTAATTAATTCAATATTAATTAATTGTGGGGAGAAGACAATTTAACGAATTTCTTGATCAAATTGTATTTCATTGAAGCGCGATTAATAAGCGCAACTTAGAACAAGTCGTCCAATCCAGTCTTACTTATTTAGCCAATTCTAGCTTTTATCAGTTGCTCTTTTAGCTTTTCGACGCTCTAGAACTGGCAACACTGGCTTTAAGCTGAAGTCCATGTGCCCGGTCCAAGCACTCTAGCAATTCGCACGAACCACACTTGGCCTTTGTCGGCTTGGCAACAAAGTTGCAGACTGAAGTTGAAGCTCAAACACTTGTTGCCACACTGGCTGGCTGGCACCGTGGTCCAATGTTCGCACAAACCCGCCCCATTTCCGATCATTGAATTGGCTTCTTCATTTGTTTATTGATTTCCGCAATTCCAGCACTTTAGCATTTATTGATTGGCTTTTCTGCTATCTTTTCAATTTGAATGGCGTGTGCTGATAGCAAAAATTGTCAAATGTCACGCAAATTTCCAATCGTAAATTGTTCGGAATCACCCCAGCAATGGATTTATTGGATTTTGTTGGCATTTATGGAGTCTACGTCTAGGCAGATAATCTTATCATTGTCTATTTCTTATTGCCTCAATTTACGATTTGTTTTTATTTCGTTTTTGCACGGATTTTGCCATCAATGTTGGCTGGTGGTAGCTCAAGGTTGTAAAAAAAAACGCAGCACTGACGTAGCAATCAGGTGATTGTGGAACGTGCGTTTTAAAATATTAAATTGCCAAGATTAGTCGTCGAATGGCATTGGAGAGATTAGTGCTTCTTACTTAGCTTGGCTTTAATGCTTTATATAGTTTTGCACGAAGTGGAGAAAAGTTAGACACTGTAAAAATGTATCCAAGGACATTCCTGGATCATCGAATCGAATCAAGAATATATTAACGAGCAAAACAAAAACAGGCAGCGCCGGTTTTATTAAACTTTTTTTGATAAATTTACTTACTTTAGAAATTGATTTTTTAAATACAGAAATTAATTTTAGAAAAACAGAAGTTTATTTAAAATTTCTACGTTCATTAGAAAATATAAATGTAGTAATTTTTTTAGAAATTAATTAGAGGTATTTAATTTATTAAAAATTAAAATTAAAAATGTATTAAAAAATTAAAAATAGATGATAGAAACTATAAATAATTATCCTTTTTTTTGTATGGGATTAAAGAACCTAACTAGTCCCCGTTTAATAGAAATTTGTCCCCACTTAGGCGTCAAAATTTGTTCCAACTGCAGTTCAAATTAAGCTTAAATTAAAAGCTATATGTCTTGAGCTATGTTCGGGTAATGAATGAATCAAACAGTTATTACGACAGTACAGACAAACGAAATACATTTATAAATATTATACAGAGTTATCTAACTTAGTTTACTTTTATAAACTTGATAAAATTAATGAAATTAATGAAACATTTTTATTAACTTTTTCACTTTCATCTAAACACTGTGTTCATTTTCTAAAGGGGTGTGTCCATAATACTTCCAAGTGTTTGCAATATATGTAGGTATGTACGCTCTATTTTCTTAGAATTGCTTTGCGCTTTGTGATGAGCCAGAACCCAAAGAATTGGCACAGTTATTTTTAAATCAATCCAAAAATATACAGTTGCAACTTTGTACTTTGGTCGATACCATTCGGTTGTTGCTCCTTCGTAGAAATTCTTGACAAATGTCCAAACGGCGCAGTTAAAGAGTTGTTTTCTTTCAGGAACTACGTAGGCAGAAAATTTTTGACGCAATTGAGAAATGTTTGTATATTCCATTAATATGGAATACATAAATATAAATATATATTATATAAATTTAAAAACTGTTTCTAGTCAGTTCAAATTGAAGCTATGATTTAACAATAAGCTCTACTTCCATTTTTATTTTTATTTCGTTATAACTGCCTTTAAAAATTTCGCATTGATTGCGAGAAAAAATTTATTTTTTTGTCTTCCGTTGTTGTTTAATAGTTTTCGTTTCATGGTAATGAAAAATATGTTTATCCTTAAAATCGATTGTTTATTTAATAAACTTTTGGACTACTTTATTATAATTCGATTAGCATACATATTATCAACTTTGAATAATTTTTAACAGGCATAACTATGCAATAAAGTAAAATAAAGCCGTAAAGAGTTATTTTTCCTTTCCTTAGGGAACAAGAAAATGTCTTTGTTGGTGCATTAGCCTCCCAGAAATCGTTCTTAGTACTAAAAAAAATTACTTGTTCATATCGATATATAAAGAAAATCTGGTATTTATGAGTTTTGTAATAGTCATAATAGTCAGAAGTTTTTTCAAATTGCTGCAGAAATCAAATTTTGTGCCCTAGTTTATTTTATATGCGTGTAGATCTTATCCACATCATTTATTTCATTTATTTACTTTTATGTATTTATTATAATTTATTTTTTTTAAATTTATTTATTACCTAATATAACCAAGCTAAATTTTTCAAAATTTAATCTAAAGGAAAAGGCTTATCAACAAGTTTTTGAACTTTTCCGCCCAGTCTACTTGCATTTCCCTTCTACCCCTTTTCACCTGTTTTCCATTCACATTTCTGTTGACACATATAGTTCATCAGAGTGCACGAGCAGGTAGTTGTCAGTAGTTGTCGTCTCTCAAGAGACGAGCCCCTTTTTCTTTGCATTACATGGGAGAGATGTACATATTTAGCAAATATTGGCCCTCAACTCGCAGATATTTGCTATTTATATCGGCGCTTTCTCTACATTTCAATTAAGTACTTGTTGTATTTGCTCGTTCATGGCATATATACTAGGTATGTAGAGTATATGTGGATATATGTATTTGAGTTGGCAGCCGTCAAAGAGATTAACACACACGGTTCTGGCTGACGACGACAAGGTCGCACGTCACTTTATATATTTGCATTATTTCGCCTCATTCAATTTTCATGCCATTCTCTCTAGCATTTTATTATAATAAATACATATTATACATAGATACATATAGTAGTATGAACATTTTTCTCTATTTTTTTAAACGCTTCCATGTGGAATTAATTTGTTTCCAGCACGTCAAACCAGTTTGTGATTGCAATTTGTTTATTTAATGGAAAAATCCAACAACAACACAAGTGGCAAAAAAATAAATTAATTAAAAAATAACTGCAATACTTAAATGTGGGCGTGTTGCCGCTCTCTCTCTCTAGATAATAGTTACTATATATTATAAGAAGAAGGGGAAAAACAATACGTAGTGGCCATTAATTGATTTGTTTTGAACAGCGCCCGCAAAAAACAATTGCCAATAAACATGTTTTGATTATTTATCATGTCAATGGGTTAAGATGAGGTTCCGTGGGCGTACTAAAGATTGTCGTCGTCGTCGCCGTCGTGGTCGTTGTTGTTATTGTTATTGTTGTTGATGCTTTTGTTGTTTTTGTTTTTTATTATATATGACCTGAGTGTGGTTTAGTCATATGAGAATTTTAGTCCAATTGCGCATTTATTTGCCTATAAATATGCGTGTATATTTATGAAATCGCACGCTGATGGCCTTTCGATAATCTCCAAAACCATACACTTAAAAAAAAAACGAAGTCTGTATGCTTTTTGCAGCTACAGTAAAAAGTTAAGTTTTAAACTTTTGGACTCTATGATTTTTATGGCTTCCATTAGGGCCTTCGTATGAGACGCGAGTAAGTTTATGATTAAAATTATTTAATATTAGTGCTTAAACAGGCTTCGATTACGTGCTATATAGCAGAAGCAACAAGAAGGGATTGATTAAATCAGTTATTGTTGCTTCAAGTGCCTTTATTAATTATACTTCTATTATTACAACAACTT